CTTGACTAAATTTAATCCAAAGAACTAAGATTTAAAAGTGCTTAGAACTGCTGTTTATTCATGTAGTTTGCACCAAAATGGAGCAAAAAATCATGATCGATGTAGTTCCCTCTGTTTTTTTAGCTATTGCTGCACCGTAACAATGAATTTAAGCAAAAAAAACTTGTGATTCGATATATTGTGATGGCCCACGATATTATTGAGATATTTTTGATGATACAATATTTTGGGTATTGTTTCACCCCTACTATTGTCACCTCATATCATGACTTTTACCAAGCCTGGAAATAACAACCCCATACTAAATTTTTAAGTAAAGTTAAGCCTAAAAATAATATTACTGATATATATGAATCTCTCGTCTGATTGGTCAGATTTGGCCCATATATTCTATAAATTACTCAGAGTCTTATATCACAAACTGGGATAGTGCATCGCAAGTCAACCATAGTAAAAGGACTGACAAACTGGGTCATCAATATACAGCAGTGTGATGTAAGGATAGTAAGAAAAGCAAAATGTATTTAAACTATCTGGTAAAGCAATCGTTTTAGTGCATAAAAGTTAAAAGCAACAAAAACAGGCACCATGTTTAAAGGGCCCATATCACTCTATTTTCTGATCTGTTATAATGTTGTTAACTCATCACAAACATACCTGGAGTTGTGTTTTGTTTCATTCACAGATGTTTAACACAAAAATATTTACAGCTGAGTTCTTCTCTCAAACTCTGTTCCACCTTGTGATGTCATGTAGTAATAAAAGAAGAGTGTTTTTAAATCATACACCTTCATCAGAATCATTTGGATGATTTCAGCCCTGGAATTGCCAATGTCTCCTTAAAAGGTAAAAGATAACTGTTAACTTGAAAACTACCCCTTCATGACATCACAAGGTGGAACACAGCATTTTGAGCTTTGAAAATGTAGACTAATAATAAAGGCTTACTCAAATATGTGTGAAAGAAACAACGCACAACTCCAGGTATGTTTTTCAGGAGGTAACAACATGGCTTAAAGTTCCCAAGAGTCAATTTATTGTAATATAGGACCTTTAAATGTCATGCCAATAGACTCAATGGTTCAGTAGTGCAGGATTTGAACTGGTCACCTTCAGGTTACAGTCCAATAATTTCTACAAACTGAGCTCCAGCCCAAATAAAGACCATTTTGAATGCCAACCATTTCCTGCCGTATATATATATTTAACTGTGCAAGACCCTATTGGAATCCAACATAAAATTTCCATAGCCAGCATTATCCCACTTCCAGTTCAGTAAGTTGGTTTAAAATTGTGCAGTAGATTAAAGGAATGGAGGTTTTAAAAGGGCCAAGATGAATAATAAATGCATAAGAACCACCAACCCAAACATCAGTGGAGCAATTACAGCCAAACAGCCAAGTACAACAATGAGAGAAGTTTGAATGGTAGGAAAACACTAAAGACCAGAGCTGCTAGAGAAATATGACCTCACCTATTCCATAAGGTTATTCAACAATATCTACCAAAGCAGATTATTTTTTGCCCACTTACACGTCAGTGCAGATATCTGGACATCAGAGTAGTCAGCACCATATTGGCTTTTCATGGCTATTTTCACAAACAAGAAGAGACAGTTATTGATCCAAGAAGTGAAAGCTCACAATCACCTAAAACGAATCATTAGGGAAGGTAATCCATTATTTCCTTTGGAAATTTATTTGTTTACATAGCAACTAGAATCAATATCAGACCAACCCTATGAATCATGAGTTTATTCTGCCTTTTTACATAAAAATATAAAAATATACAAAATCTAACAGCTAACACAAATTTTTGTCCACTAAGGCACCACTGACTGAATTATTCAACTAAGCAACAACTTGTGAATAATTATTTTCATCTGCATTTTTAAATACCAAAAGTATGGCTGGACAAACTCAAAGAAAACAAATGTAATTGGGGCTATTTTCTCTACTTCCTGCATTTCTATGGGAAGAAAAACGCTGAAAGATCCTGTGATAACATATTTTTCCAGGATTAGATGCAACACTAAAAATACTGCAGCTATTAACAAACAGAGGAATGTTGAGTGGTTTGGATAACGAACCTCTTTTCTAATAAGAGTTTAATGTACATCTTCGTATATATTAATGTAAAGTGACACTATAAAAATGCTCTATAGTAACAACTGCATGCAGTCAAATAACAACAGTAAATAACAACGACTAGTTGATTTCTACAGTGCATGGGGTAGACAATACTGACAAAACTGAACATCTGCCATTTTTTTTTATTATACCAATAACATAAATCAGACAATATATTTGGCACTTCATCAAAACCGTTCTTGTGTGTGTGCAGAAAATGAGCACCCTATTCTGTGCAAGCTTCAATATTTCAAAATCTTCAAAACAAGTTTGACCTGATGTTGAATATGACAAGACACTTGTTAGTGTATTGCTGAGGGATAATATTCACAAAGTATTGTGATGCCATAGCCTTGCTCAAGAAGATGGATTCTCGCAATATTTGTGAGTTCACAAACTCACAAGAATCCATCTTGGAGTGCGCTCTGTACAGTTAATTGAATGGGAGGACCAATCACAGAGCAGAATTGGAGTTTTTGCAGAAGCCAAAGGCTAAGTACCCAAACAAACCAAAACAAACCTGGTGACACTGACACACGTACTTCAGCCTATTTTGGCGTCAATATGGACTATTTTGTTTATGAAAAACATGCAAAATGTAAGAGCTTTGTGCATTTGTGAACAGGGAAGATGTGCTTTTCTCTCAGCTGGATGTAACAAAAGCTAGATTTTTTGGCTTGTTCTGCTGTTGTGATGCTTCAACCATCAATCAAATTCAAATAATCGTCATGATGTTCTACATTTTCTGATCATTTTCAGCAAGAGCCATTCCTAATTGATAATATGTAGCATTAAATTCTGAATGCTCCACATATCAGTCTGGCATGAGCCAGGTCACTGATGCCCCCTTTCTCTATAGGTTGTCTTATTGTCCCTGTAGGGGACTCCAGCTGTTAAGCTCTCCAGAGCTTAATAGCTATAATGATTTTTATCTGCCATTGTAAATTGCTAAAACTCCAGTGGTCTAACCAGTACAGATACAATGGAGGGAAGAGTTTTGTAGTATCATGTGTGTGATGTGGTTACGTCTCATGAATAGTGATTGAGTGCTCAGAGCGACTTGAGTGTACTAATCAGGCCTATGGGCCACAGGGGGGCTGTAAACCAGGGGCTTTGGCTCCATTGATTCTAATACAGATCGACCATCAGTAATGCAACCACTAACCATTTAGAATCAGATAGAGCTATCTTTATCACAGCCTATTAAGAAAAGTTAAATATAGGTTTATTCAAGCTCATTTTGGATACGGGAGTCTATTTATGGAGATCAACATTTATAAAAAAAAATGTTTTTGAACATTATAAGTTGTGTGGTCATTTGTTTCCACATAGCTGATTAGTCCTTAGGAAGCTTTTCAATATACATTTTTTGGGAGTCTATGAGAAAAATAAATGGAAAATTTACTTCTAGAACTTCATGGTGGGTAGTCACTGTTGGTGGCACAGTGGCTAGTGTTTTAGACACCTGAACCCAAACATGCAACATGTAAAAATTCCCCAGCTGTCCTGACCAAGCCTCAAGATCTGGCACTGTGGTGCAAACTGCTCCTGACATGTTGTCCCAGCGGTACTGAATGTTGGGTCAAATGCAAAGGACAAATTTCTACAAAGCTTCTACGGGGGATATTCAGAATCTGTAGATATTTAACCCACAACTTCCATCTCATTTTAATCACTGAAACACAGACAACCAGCTCTAAAGTCTTCATTGGGCAACAGTAGCAGCAGCCGTCTCCTTTCCTCTGTCAAAGTCACCTGACTGAGAGGAGTACAGCGCCCAGAGCCCACCTGAAGAGAACAGCCAGGCCCATCAGTCACTGCAGGCATCCACACCCACTGTTTGTGTGTGCGCTTACAGGCTGCAGGAACAGATGCTCAGTCTGTGTAAAGTGTATCAGTACTAGACAACAGGCTACTGTGAACTGTGGAAATCCAAAACTTCTAAGTAGCTATCTTAGACACCATTTGTTTTCTTTTGTAGTAGTATGTGGACAAAAACTGATTTTTTTTTTTATCATTAGGTGATCATTGTGGGTTATCATCTGAATCTGCACATGTTTTATACAAGACGTCCTAATTCTGCATTGGAACCAACACTGATGAGTAGCCTACACTTGCTTGTGCCCATGTAGTTGGATTATAGTACCAATAAGCTATTTCTTCTACTCACTATTGCACTATTTGTCATTCTACTAAAATAAGAGCAGTCAAATACATTTCAAATGTGGGAAAACCAAATAATAAGCAATTTAAGAGGCTCTGGATGAAAAATCTTTCTTCTAGCCTTCATGGTTCAGGATGGATAGAGGGCCAAAAACATAATATGGAAATTACAACTTGATGGACACTAATAGGCTATAAACTCAGTATGAGAAATCCAGTTCTGTATCATTATCTTCCATAGCCAGTCTGATTGTACAAGTGGCCTATAAACTGTACCACTTTTCATAGCCACAGAAGGGTGTGGGCTGGAGTTTAAGTAGCCCATTTAAAATGCATCATATGTAATCTATCTATAAACAATATTAGAAGACCTCAGATTTGCTAACTATTTGCTCAGATGGGACACTGTATGCTTTTTAAAGATTATGACCTATTTTTAGCCTTTGCTGTCTGCTCATATCAACAGAATAAGTTGTGGTCTGTCTCTGAGGCTGCAGTAGAAACAACTGTAGGCTACTTATGCACTGCACCGGTGAGATATTGTTGCAAGAAGAGTGACTGGCGTTATTACAGCTAGATCCAGCTCAAACACGATGCATATGAGCCCACCTCCCTACCTCTGGAGCGAGACACCCTCCTCTCCAATTTAAGCCACTTTCCGCCTCTACATGCATTGTTATGAATCGATCTGCGGCGTAGGATACTCACCTCTTGCAGCAGACATGCCTGGTAGGTACCGTCTCCTTCTTTAGCGACACGAGCAGCAGTGGAGATCCGCCGGTGCAGCTTGGAAACCGGGGGAAGACCGCTTGACAGCCCGCTATTATCTTTTCTTCAGGTTGTCATTGAGCATATTGCTGCTGGACGCGAGGAAAAGCATGCGTTTGGTTAGGAGCTATAGCCTCTGCGATGGGGAGCCGGACTTTGCAATGACAGCAGGGCGTGTCCTGGAAAACACAGCATCCTTCTCACTTTTTCCATAAGTTCACGTCCATGTTAGAGGAGAGAGCACGCCGGTAATGATGAGGGGGAAAATAGCATAACCTCGACAACCCGTGACTGCATGCGCACACCAGCACCCATAGCGTTAAAGTGACACCCTAGTTTTGCACCGTGATGACTTTGCTGGTGTCTGCTGGATGTGCCTCATAATGAAGACATCAGTGTTAGTAATTTTAGCCAGTTATTTTATTAGTGCAAGCCTATCCGACACAGCCCCACTAAAGTAATCACAGTAGCCCAATGATTCGTAAAGGTAAATATAATCTAATTGATCTAAAAGGTGTATTTTGCTATAGCTTAAATCTATATCACAAAATGCAGTTTTTCTGTTGCCTATTTACTAAGAGTGCGTTCACGCTCGTCCTGTTTAGGTCCTGGTTTGGATCCAGTTTAGTCCTGCATGCACTTGTTTGGTCTTCTTGATCTTGGTTTATTCCTGGTCTAGTCCGTCGTGTTAAATTCCAGATTTAGCCCCGATTTAGTCCCATTTTTGATGTGGTGCATTTGTGTGAACGCACACCAACACCAATACAGTGGGGATTACACAATAGGACTTGGCTCTTGGGACCTATGCTGTCAAAAAATGGTTCATTCTAACCCAAAATAACAACAAGAAGCTATTTTAAGAGATCAAAGTCGTGTTTTATATAACTTACCTTTCACTTGACAGCTGTGTAAGTTCATGTCGAGCTTAATTCGAGGTAAATTAGTGGTTATTACTCATAATTAAGTGGCTGTCAGCTCCTTCACATGCCTTATACCGGAGCTCCCCCTGGCGGCTGGATGTGGAGCTGCGGCGGAAGAAGTGCCACCGTGTCCCGTCCACAGAACGATCCGCAGACGTGTTGTTTACAGTGTGGTCCAGGCCTCGATCCTGCTGCCGTCTGTCTTGTGTATTTTATGGCTTTATTGCTCTCTTTTACCATTTTCGTTTCAAGGGTCAGTGTATGAAACCTCCAATCTGGATCGAGGCGGCAGCAGGAAGAAGAAGATAGAGGATTTCTCTAGGTCTTCTCGAGAAAAGCTAGTCCAATCCAAGAACAAAATGTTTTCCAAATTTACGTCCATCCTCCAACATGCAGTCGAAGCGGTAAGTGTGAGATGAAGTGCACAATATGACTCCAGTTTCACGAGTTTCCCCTGTAGGATTTTTCTAAACAGAGACTTTGATCACGCATGTCACGGCTGTTAGCATCTGTGCTAACAAAGTAGCCGCAGCTAGTGTTAGCGTTTTGTGTTTATGTTGTTTGTTTACACCTGTTCGCCGCAGCAGAGAGTCCCAGCGACCATCACAGTGTTTGACCATGAGCCTTAACTAACAGGACATCTGACTGCCACATGCGTATTTACGGCGGATGTTTCCTGTTAAATTGTGTTTTGCAAGAGGTGCTAGTTAGTCGCTAAGGTTAGCTCCAGGTAGCCACAAGAAGCTAGGCTAACTCAGATGGACCAAACAGCTGCATCATATCATAAGTGATTTGGAGATCTCAGGTCAGTTACGTAAAGTGGAGCCCTGGAGTATTTTTCATAGCCTGTCACTGCTTGTATCGTTTTGTGCTAATGGGACTTTTATTCCTACCCCTGAGCTGCTTGGGAGGTACTTAGCAAATATTATACTTAACCAGTTATGACATTCCTCAAACCTGTTCTGAGCTGCTTCATGGCAAACAATGAAAGTAACTTTAGTTGTTGAGCTGGTAATGACCAATAGCTGTCTTTCATCCAGAATAACTCTTAGATAAGACCGCAGACTATTCTCTTTGCACACTGGGACTGCACTGAACTAAAAAATAGTTCACCTTGAACTGTAATTTATTCCTGTTGCTTCTTTTTTCAGCTGGCCCCTTCACTGCCCCTGCAAGAGGACTTTGTTTTTCATTGGAAGGCCATTACACATTATTACATTGAGACATCTGGTAAGATCAAATGGCACAAAACACTCCTCGCTGGCTTTGATTTTGGTTTTATTATTTTTATTATTAATTATTATTATAGTTGTTGTCACTTTATCTCTGATTGAATGAAAAGTGGGAAGTGAAAATCCATGCTCACTTATTACACAATGCACTGTAACCAAAGTTTTGCTTTGTATCTACTTCTTGACTGCTTTTACTTACCAAACCAACACAGGCCTATAGTCTGTCATTTCATTCTCTGCATTTTTGGAAAACTAAATAGTTTACAGGGCGTTCTAATATTGATGTAAATATGTACATATATTAACACCAATATCTGCTGAAAACAAAAACGTATCTTTTGTTAAGCAATAGCAGTAATATTACTTTATTGTTATTTGTCCTTGTAGATGATAAAGCTCCAGTTACAGACACAAACATCCCATCTCACCTGGAACAGATGCTGGACATCCTGACCCAGGAGGAGGCTGAGCATGAGTCTGGAGAAACGGGGCCCTGTATGGAGTATCTACTGCACCATAAAATACTAGAGACTCTGTACACTCTGGGCAAGGCGGACGTAAGCAATTATAGCCACTACTTTACTTACACTTTAGCATACATAATGAAAATACATATACTAACTCGTACTATAACTCAAATATTAAAATACTAATTTTGCAGAAGGTAACAGAATTGTGAATATGCCACTTTTCTCTTTTAAAATGCTGTAAATCATTAGTGTCATAATCCAAAGAATTAAGCAATTTAACATGTAGTTTGCATTGAAATGAAGCAAAGGATGATGGTCGATGTACTCCCCCCCATAATAATATAAAGCGAACAGCCTCGTAATTTGATATTTTGTGACGGCCCATGATATTATTGGGAGAGTTTTGACGATACGATATCACGATATATTGGTTGTGTCACATCCTTAATCAATACTGCATAAAATCACATAAACAGGACAAAATTGGACCTTTATTGTACAACCTTACAATAGTCTTGCTCTATGTCCGAACTAATACAAGTCCAATATTAACTACTGTATTATGAACTGAAAATTACGTTCTATCCTCTAAATTTATTATCATCGGGGTATTGAAATTAGTATAGAGTATGAAGCCTTTCCCTTAATACTGAAATCAGGTGTTAAATTTCAGTGTGGTGACTGGTGATGTATTTTGGATATAAACAGAACATCTTTTTTTTTTTTTTTCTTTTTGCAGTGCCCTCCTGGAATGAAACAACAGGTGCTCACTTTTTATACAAAGCTTTTGGCACACATCCGTCAGCCTCTTCTTCCACACATAAATGTCCATAGACCTGTACAGGTGAGATGTGCTGACAGCTTTGTGGTTTTCTGCTTATTTGACAGAAGTAGCCTGGTGCCGAATGCTAACTGCTGATTATTTATGCTGCAGAAACTGATCCGTCTGTGTGGGGAGGTACTTGCTGCACCAACAGAAAATGAGGAGATACAATTTCTTTGCATAGTCTGTTCCAAACTCAAGCAGGACCCATATCTCGTCAACTTCTTTCTTGAGGTAGGGGATGCTACAACCAAATTAAGTGAAATTACTTTATTTTAATGTGTGTATAAATATATATATAATTATGGCATTGATTTTACAGAACAAGTTGAAAAGACCTGAGTCTCTGCCTCCTGGCGGCAGACAGGGAGGTAAAGATAATGCTTTATCCCCTGACACTGGCCAAGCTCAGACGCCTGAAAAACCTGAAGAGCCACAGGCGGCTTCTGCTGCTGCTGCTGCTACTTCTGCTGCTGCTGCTTCAAGTCCAACCAGGAACAATAACAACAGCAGCAACTACAACCTGGTCACGTCACTGCTCAACCTCACCAAGAGCCCTGTAAGGAATACTATTATTAAGTCTATTCATTCATCCTTCAAATGATTCCTTCCTAATATGGATAAGGATTTTGTCAGGACCTTGTCCCATGTAAAAGCTATTTTTTGAATACATCATTGGTAACTGAGGACCGTTGCCATGCCTAATTCAACAAGAAATAAAAAATTCATTTTGTTAATTGAAAGCAATAACTCAAATAATGATTTTCTGTAAAATTTGCTTCACAATTTTTCAAATTTTTTAAATTTTCTATAATACTACAATTAAGACCTCATTGAAAGGCATCTCAAACAGTCAATGAAATCTATAAGAAAGAAATTAAATTCTTCCTAAATTTTACTTTGGTTTCAAATTGTGACCTATGTCCATTGTTAGATTTTGTCACTTACTGTGTATTTATCAGTTTGTTGGTATTTCCTTTTTTCTGATGAATTGTCTCTTCCTTCCCACCCAGGATGGCAGGATAGTAGTGAAAGCATGTGAGGGCCTGATGTTGCTGGTGAGTTTACCTGAGCCGGCTGCAGCCAAATGCCTGACAGAGAGCACAGAGCTGTGTGAGCTGCTCACAGATCGACTGGTGTCCTTCTACAAAGCTCTCCCTCAGTCCATCGACCCTCTGGACATCGAGACTGTGGAGTCTGTCAACTGGGGGTGGGTAATTTGTACATTTGTCTGTTGAAATATAAAATTGTAGTTTATGCTTAAATTAACTCCAACTTTTGTCTTTGATACATTTTATTTGTATACTTTCCATCAAGTAGTTTAGATTAGATTAGCTTTTTTTTGTCTTTTTATAGAAATTCTTGGACACTGGGCACAAAATGATAAAGTACAGACAATAGAAAGTACTGTCACTCCACACTCAGACCAAAAGCTACAACATCAATCAAGTAGTGGCAAGAACTGACAAGATTCAATACTTCCTTGTCTGAGGCACCTACAAGAAATGTCTTCAATTTAAAGAGTTTATTCCAAAAAATGTTCATAAACAGTTGTAATTTGCCTTTAACACCAGTAGTTATTCAGTAGTATTTAGAATTTTAGCTGTGTATCAAAAATCCATTCAGGAATTTCAGGTCTTAAAATTTAAGCCACTTCTTTTACAAGTAATTGTACTATTTAAAAAAAAAAAAAAAAACATAAAATTAATTTGCATTCATTGTTGATAAATGTTTTGCCATGGAGGTGGCATGTAAGCTTCCACCATTCAAATATATCAGAGAAAAAACAATTGGAAAGAGAACTTCTTGATCAAAACAAAGTTGCTTTTACCGTTTGTGTTTTTAACAAGGATTCTCAGTAAACCAACTTGGCCTTTGTCACCTTCTAACCTTATCTTCTCTCTGTTCAGTCTGGATGTGTATAATCTCAAAGAAGATGCTGCTGTCTTCACTGGCAAACGCGCTCTTATTTCCTTCCTGTCTTGGCTGGATTACTGCGACCAGCTCATCAAAGAGGCCCAGAAGGTCTGTGGTAGTGTCTGATTCTGAGTCACTGTGTTTTGATGTGTCATATTGTAGTCACTGACAACAGCAAAGAACATCTCCACAAAGCTTCATTTGGAGAGGAGGCAGGAGGCAGAGCTCTAATGTTTTGTGTCGTCTTTGTCACTGTCTTTTTTAGTCAGCAGCGACTGTCATGGCCAAAGCTGTGAGGGAGCGGTTCTTTGTGGCGGTGATGGAGCCTCAGCTTATGCAGACGTGAGTGCTCCTTTCAGGCTTCAGTCAATCATCACGCACTGACAGTTAAATCAAACACATTGCTGTGGGTTTAGTTCAGGCACATTCGTGTAGAGAAAGTGGGCCTCTTTTCATGTACAGTTTTACGCTGCTATCAATTTGCTATACGGTATGTATTCATCTAAAGCTCCACATCTAACTTGCCAGAGCAGGGATGCGTATGAACAAAGCCAGAACTTATTTCCCTGGTTTATTTTTAGCTGGCTGTCATCAGGTGGTACAATCTCAATAAAGCCCATGTCAAAATGTACATACTAATATAAATTTAACACTACAAGGCAGATGGTTAGCTGTATCACAATGCTAAATATTATCATGATACCTTTTTTGTGCACACCTCTAATGCTAAACCACATGCAGGACTACAACATTACAGAGAAACAGTTGAGCAATCTCTCCTTCACATTCCTGTCATGTCACAAGTTGTTTATCAGTTACACAGGCCTTGCTCTAGTCCTCTCTTAACTCTTTGCTTGTATGTGTATTTTTCTAGTCATAGCCCCTTGCTCATATTTTTTTCTGTATCTAAAGGTCTGAGGTGGGCATCCTGACCTCCACGGCTCTCCTGAACAGGATCATCAGACAGGTCTCCTCTGAGGCACTGATGCAGGAGATGGTTTATTTTCTTTTGGGGGAAGAGAAGGATCCCGAGACGGCCGCCACCATCACACAAAACCCACTCAGACACAGACTCATAGAGCACTGTGACCACCTCTCGGATGAGGTTTGTCCATCCAGGCTTCTCTAGGCAGATCTTAAAGTTAAATAATATGGATTAACGAGATCTGCAGTGATTTTGCTCTGTTTTACCAATCAATTTTACCAGCAAGCCAGCAATCACGCATTTCAAGAGTACCCTTTTTCTTAACTAGTTCACTACATGTGCATCAGTCACCACACATATTATATATATGTCTAAAAAATAGCAATTTATTAATGAAACAGTGTGCTAACTTCAAAAGTAAATTCTCAAGTAAAATTAGGTTTTGTTTGGGTTTTTTGTCATGAAATATACAATGACTACAATTGTACCACTCTGACTAAAGCTACACATGGCTAAGGTGGGCAACAACACTTTAGAAATTGATTTAAAAATACATATTTAGGTAATTTACAAAAATAATTATCAAATATAAAGGTAAAAAATATGTACCAACATAAGTAACCCTATTTTCTTGTCCACAGATCAGCATCATGACCCTGCGACTATTTGAGCAGCTCATCCAAAAACCAAACCAACACATCCTCCATAACCTTGTGCTCCGAGGTTCTGGAGGAGAGGAACTACCTGGAGAATAAACCCCAGGATGAACGAGAACCAATAGAGAACGGGCAGCCCCATGACGCCGTGTAAGGACCACCCTCCGCTCCCCAAAATATGATGCCAAATAATAAAATAAAGTGCATGAATGTAGCTGTGTTTCTGTAGAGATGTGCCATTTCATGTTGTGCTGAGCTGTCTGCTGCGTGTGTGTGGCGTCTGACAATAATTATAAGCAGTGATTAAGAGGATTATGGTAATGCATCAAATGTCAGCTGTGAATAATTAGGAAAGGTTTTGTTGACGTCTTTACCTGATATGAACCACAGGAAAATGGGCTTTGTTAATTACAGTGATCTTCTTTTCTATGGGTTCAAGAAAGACAAAAATCTCACTTCTAGTAATAAGCAACATGGCAAAAAAAATCAAAGCATTATAACTTTGAGTTTTGAGGCAGACTGTACACTGTTTGTCTCCAATCCTGTGAAACATTTCAAACGATCATCTCATAACTAACTGTGTGTTTGATTATAAAGTGGCTTTAATCTGACAGAAAAGCATTCACTATCAACATGTAACAAAGCCCATACTAGATAATCAATTCAATCTATCAAGATATTCTCTGCTCTTGTGATGGCCAAATCAAATTTAAAGTGCACTATGGACTTCTGGTGAAAGGTCCAACGCCTCCACAGTATGGAATTAAATGTACTTCTCTCCATGAGGATAAATGGGTGGCACCTGAAAGCCAAGTGTCAGGTCCCGTCAGTGGAGAGGTACCTTTGAAAAACAAAAACACAACTGCAAATCTATTAGTTTAATGCCATACTGTGGAATATAAGCAATAGTGCACCTTTAAAAATACACTCAGAATACATACATGCTTTTAAAACAACATACGCATAAGTAAAGATTGTAAAGGTTAAAGCTTTAAAAATTGCAGACGATGAAATTATATTGTTCTTACAGAGACCTGGAGGAGGACCCGTTGTTCGGTGATGACCTCTCTCCCGACAGCCGGTTGTCTGGCTCTGATTGGCTGAGCACGTCGCCCCCGCTGAGTCCGGACCACTCAAAATCAGAGGGCAAAACGGAGGTTCATAAGATAGTTAACAGGTGAGTATTTCGAGGTATAGTTATTCTTCGATGTAATGCTTACCTCCGTTATATGTTGTTGGTCAAAATGGCTCTATAAACAAAAAAGCAGAAATGTCAACTTTATTTTGACTTGTCTATGAATTTAAAAAAAAACAATTAAACTCACATAATAATATCAATGAACATGAATAATTGCCTGGAATGTTCCGCAGCACTGCATTTAGTCATCTGCAAGGATTTTTATAGCTAAAAAACTTGGAAAAACAACAACAATTTATGTGAGTGGGGTTGCCTCTCCACAGATCTGACCTGTAAATTGCCCTTGTAGTCTTACCTGTTTGTCTCCATAGAGAAATACAAGTTTAATGCTACACTGTGAAATGTTCGGGCAAGGCAATAACATCTCCATGGAGAGAAAGGCAGCAAGTTACAAAGTGCACCTTTAAACCTTTTTGTATGTCTTTTGATTTTTACAGTTTTCTGTGTTTGGTGCCTGATGAGGCAAAGTCGTCTTATCACGTGGAAGGCACAGGCTACGACACCTACCTCAGAGATGCACACAGACAGGTAAGCTGACCATAATGTTCCATATTTGAGCTTTAATGTGTAAATTGTCAGTTCCTAATGATATTTCCCAATGTGTCTGTACAGTTCAAAGACTACTGTGGCGTGTGTCTGCGCTGGGACTGGAGAGGACACCCTAAACCTCTAGAAAAGTGTAATTTAGAGTTACCGTTTTTTGAGGGGCACTTTTTGAAGGTGTTGTTTGACAGAATGGGACGTATCCTCGATCAGGTGAGTAGACAGTTTGTAATCTTATCTATTCTGTCTTATCTAAAGTTTGACTTTGCACAAGTGCTCTTAATATCACAGTCTGTGTAGGTTGTCAGTCTGGGTGGGAGAGGGGATCTTTAGTTTAAACTTGCACTGTAACAGGTCTATACTACACTGATCCCAGTTTTTTACCCTGAGCCATTAACGAATTATCAGCAGCTTTTTGGGATACTCCGTACGGTTTGCCCATAGCACGCTGGAGAAAACCACGTTGATTTCCTGTTTGTTTGGTGACCTCTCATGGCCACAGGCATTGTCCTCAAATTCAAATCGCAATTGCGTGATCCAGACCTGAATGTAATGAAATATGAAATCTAATAAAAGTGAACTTTATAGCGCCCCCTAGCATAGACATGAAACATCAACAATATCAAATTTGTACCAAATTCAGAGATTTAATTCTATGCATGATTATGAGCAAAAAAAAAATTACGGACAAGGGGCATTTTTCACGGTTGACCAGCAGGGGCACAAAGACTCCCCCCAAATATATTGTAAAATTTATTACACACACATGTTTAGTCTGATCATGCTGAAATTTCTATCAGTTATACACTGCATAACCATGATTCCATTGATATGTCAAACACAATTATCAGTGCTAGAGCGCCACCTATGGGAATGCACAAATTTTACTGTGGGGAGAAAAAAATTATTTTGAGATTAATTCGTGAAACTTTGCAGAACATTCACTCACGTGCCCGATCATAAAAGTCAATAAGACCTATGCCCTAGTTTTTACACTTTTGCCTCTTGAATCATTCACTTTTAAGAAATTTAAAGACACACTGTTTTTATGCAGTCTTAGCTCTTGACCATAAAAGCCACATGACCTATGGCCTAGTTTCTATAGTTTGTCTCTAGAATCAGTCAGAATATCCAATTTTAAACGTGCACTATATAATTTTTCTGGTGGACGAGCTGTCGGTCTGTGCGGCTGTCGGGAAGAGAGAGAGCTGTGCCGGGGCAGCAATCCTGTATTGTCTTGCATTGAGGCTCGAGTACTCAGGAAATTTCTGTTTTCACCTAATCCCCTATCTTCATCTACATCTGTGCTTGTGGTTATTTAAAAATCTGACTCTGGATCAGATTATGTAGGGTTGAAAAATGTCACATAGTTCTGCAGTTTTGAATAGGAAGTCAATTGAAACTATTATTAATCCATTTAAGATAAATATTGCAGTTTCCAGTTGAAATGTATGTACAGAAAAATTATTGGAATTACAAATTTTACATAACGCTATGTCATTATTAAGTTTGAAAGAAAAGAACGTCTGAAGCCACATTTTGTTCCCCAAATCAGTGACGCTGATAGTTGACCTGCTGTTAAAGAACCACTTCTTAAATCAAAACCTGATTTATTTGATTAAACTAATGGGCCTAATTAATTTAAAAGTTTCAAAGCCGAGTTTTCTGACAATTAGACTAATCATGTTTTGTTCAATCAGGACAATGCCTTTTACCGGACCTCTTGTATTTGACTGAAGATTACAAGCTTGTTTTTTCAGGCTTGTATGATTTTTGCTGAGGGGAAACTGTAATAGAAAATGTAAATGTGCTGCTGATGGTGCAAAGCTGTGATTGAACGACACTAATGAACTCCAGCTGTCTGCGGAAATAAAACCTCATTTTCACAGACACTGTTGTTTGGACATTTTGGACATTTTAGAAATTATTAACAAATGAATCGACTCGTTTTTAAACTCCCTTTGATTAATTTTGGCTTAGTTTTTGAAAGGACAAATTCATTATTCTGTGCCACAGTATTTGCCTAACTCAAGGCCTTTCCGCCCACCTGTGCTCTTTTATTATGATGATTTTTTTTTTTTACAACTTTTTTTTTTTTTTTTTTTTTTTACACCTTGTCTCGTTTGGTAAATTGTTCAAATTTTCAATAAGTGCACTTTATAGAAAAGACAGCACCACTATAGCTGTCATCTTTTTCATGTTTATATCTGGTTTTGTTGTTAGTAAAATATAAGACTAACTGATAATTCAAAAATTATGTTTATTTTTAGTTTATGTTTTATGTTATGCCATATGGGCCTTTTAAATTAACCAATCCTGTGTTCTCTCCTCTTGGTGTGCAGCCGTATGACGTAAACCTGCAGGTGACGGCGGTGCTATCCAAACTGTCTCTGTTACCACACCCACACCTGCATGAGTACCTCCTGGACCCCTACATCAACCTGGCCCCAGGCTGTAGGTCTCTCTTCTCCGTCATCGTCAGGGTAAGACGTGGACCTGTCACCAGCTGATAACAGTTTGAAATGTGAAATACTGCGCCTGAAAATAACATGATAATTTTGATAGTACTTTAAAAAGCAGGATAATCCCAGTAAACCCTTTTCAAAATATACAGTATCCCCAAAACATGAACTGCCTCAAATAAAAAGCATTTAGTAGTTAGTGTCTATTAGTTATATTCAGACCTGTACAGCTCTGATCTTTCTTTATTTCTACAAAGTATTGCAAATTGCACCACCAGTACAGTATACACAAAATGAATAATAAATGTTGAGCCCTGAAAAATATTATGCAGCTGCAATTAATTGAACCACAAGTTGATATAGTAATTATCATGACTGTTCTATTTAGAAGGAATTTTAGTCAATTATCACAAATGTGCTGCCAATGTACCGTTGATAATCTCTGGAACAACAGTTGTCGAGTTCATGGATGAAAGGGCAAAAAGTAGATAACACTGTGGGTGCTCTACATGTATGTGTATGGCAGATGTTCACCATGGAGATAGAGCCAAAAAAGTTTTTAGATAGTTTGAAAACTCAAGAAAAAATACAAAATGGTTTCAAACAACACATTTTCACAAGCCTGTGATCAGTGCGACAGTTGTTTAGCTGTTTGATTTTTAACAAAAAGGTGAGAGTGACTAACAGAAAAAAAAACAGTTTTCTAATGCTTGCCAGATTGTGACTTTAATGTTATTTGAGGGGGACTTGTTTAACAGCACGAATCAGCTCATGTGGTGTAGTTCTAGTTAAGTCAGTTTTTTCTGATTACATTGTGTTAAATTAAAGCTCAGATAAAACTCTAACAAAGCCTCAGACAAAGCAGGGCCTACTGCTAGTGTCACATCCCCTAAACCAGGAATGTAGCTAGTCTGGGGCCACCTAGTGCCTCCACTCAATTTAATTTCTCTCCAGCGACTAGGTCAGGAATCAGAATACACTAGACGGTTTGCAAGAACCCTGGAAATGTGAGTCTGGACACCAGTCAATCAGCGAAGAGCCATACATTCTGTGTTGGCAATGATTCCCGAGATCCGAGGATTTAAAGCCGGAACAAAGAGAATGTTTGGTGAATTTTGTCAAGGGGAAAGACGTTATTGCCCTTCTTCCTACGGGATTTGAGAAAAGCTTAATATACCAGTTAGTCCCGTTAGCAGGGCATTACATACATCACAACCAAATAGCAGTGATTGGTTAAATAAAAAAAGTACCTGCCTACCATCGAGTGTACGAATTCTAATGCAGACGGTTTTCACAAAGTGAAACCGTCTGATGAATCAGGCTACAGGGAATGTGGATGATCAGCTAGAAAGGATCAAGCCAAAAAGAGCTTCACTTCTGCATACAGATCTTGGTTCTTTGTGAGTTTGAATTGGTCTTTCCTTATTTGTTCTTGATGTGCTCTATTTCACTGAAGAACATGTTGATTATGTGCATAGATATGAAGAGATTTGTTAAATATTTGGTGTGTGTTTTCAGGTGGTGGGTGATCTGATGTTGAGGATCCAGAGAATCCCAGACTTCACGCCCAAACTGCTGCTCGTGAGGAAGAGGCTGCTGGGACTGGAGCCAGAGGGACTCAAGTATGTGAACAATGAGTATAAATAAAAGTCTTTTATTAGCCTAGTACACTCAGGGTCACTCCTGTATCAGCAACTAGAGTGGTCATTTTATTCTGTGGGCGGAAGAGAAAGAGATGAAGCAAAACTATGAGCCAAACCATAAGTCCCATGGTAGCAGTTCAGTTTATTCTGGACTAGAAAAAAGGAAGAATATGTAACTGTGATCAGAAATGCATGACGATTACAGTTGGATTTGTGATTTTGTTCTAATAATGTTTTGTTCTAATAATGTTCTAATAATAACAAGATTTGAAAGACTGATATGAGAATCAAATTTCAGAACATGCTTGCACAAATCTAAACTACAGGGGATTTGTATGCAGAATAAGACAGGATATTTGTTTCTGGAGGAAATGATGGCACCTTTGTGATTTGTTAATTGCGTCCATTAAAATTGCAGTTTAGATTTGATTGCGATTAACCTTGCAGCTCTTTTTTGGACCCAGGTGTACTGGAAGGTTTGATTTTGCCACGTTTTCACAGCAATGGGAGCAGTTTGGTTGAAAATACTTTGTGTATTTCTTGACTTCAGTGTTTCTTGTGGTAGCTGAAGGTGTCATGTAAAATTGGGTCAACTGTCACTGTTCACACTGGCAGAAAAATCATACATAATCAAAAGTGAACATTTTCTGACTAGTATAGCAATTAGATTTGAAAGATATGTTTAAAAAGTAGGTCTGGTGAGAGTTCTTATTTGATTTATTGATTTATCAGTAAATGGCAGAAACCTGTTCCTCCGCTTCTCTCTTTTTACCTTTTACCTTTGTTCAGACTTACCTGTGCTCCCTGGTTTTCTACTGTCAGGGAGCAGTAACAGAAATGGCATCAAGTGGTGATTTGTGAGAATACAACAGGGGCGGTTTGGCCACTATACTAAAAAATGTATAGAAGACTGAAAAATGAACTGATAAGATAATTCATTTCTAGACAACGGGGATTACACATTTTTTCCCCATAAATTTGTAGTGATGTAGAGGATCATCAGAGGATATTCTGTTGCCTAAAAACTTACAGCCTTTGTGATTTGACAATAGGCTCTTTTCACGCTTGCGTCACAAACCAGGAAGACGTGTGGAAAGAAGAGATTACAAATTTTGGTGGGCTCTGTTCTAGGAAAAATGAGAAAATGTCCCAATTTGCTTTATCTAAATGTCATTGTAGTGTTCCGTTATGTTCAGCTAATCAACAATTACAACCCTACCTCAGTTTTCATCATTTCCCCACCAGCACACAACTCCGAGCGCACTGGGTACATGCGAAGAGATGAGGCGCCAAATTCAAGATTATTCCAAATAAAAACAGCACATATGTATGCAGTCTTCATTTTACCGCTGATCACATTTACTTCATTGGGTTTGATCACAGTTGGTTTGGTGAGCCCAGTGTCAGGAACTACACTGGAAGTTGTAATCACATCTTTCCAAACGTTTTTCTGGTTTGTGACGTAATGTGAATAGAGCCTATTGCACCTCTTTCTCAAATTGCGCTTTTGATTTGATTGCGATGTATAGGCGAGTTTCATTGTTGACAAAAGCGTGCGTTGCATGTTGGAAATTATTTTGGTCGGTGGCAAGAAACACTAATTCATCATGACGGACGGAACGAGAAAGCATGTAAAGGGTATTGATCCCGGTTATTTATCCACACTAACGGTAGAGGACCGAAGATGATTTGATCAGAAATTGGTCATAAGTATCGATGGACGCCAAATCACCCTTTTCAACCCCGACAAAAGGTGGACCAAACCAAATTTCTGGTCAGACTCGCCAACTACCTGGCTAAATATTCACCTCAGCGATATCCACAATTACTTGGTGGAAACTCCTGGGCCATTCACAGCAGAAAAGATGAAAACCTCCAAGGTCTCGATGCGTTGTTGAACTTGTTGGAGTCCATGGTTTGCTACGATCTTCTACGTTTGCTCTGCGAATGTTTGAAAGCCATTTAATTCACCGTTAGCGGTTCTTTTCACTCAGAATACGAAAAAGACATTTTCCTTCTTCCGTGCTTCTATTTGTGCATCCGATAATGAAGCAAGAATTTACCATTATCGGGGATAAATACGCGAGGTTACGCACTGTGCTTGACCGCTATTGTGTTTCTTGCCTCCGACCAAAATATTTCCCAGCATGCAACGCGGGCAATGACGTCAGCTGAAACTCGCCCTTTGTGTGCAGTCCTCATCCACATTGCATTTGTTAGTAATAATAATAATAACAATACATCCGACTTATGTAGAGCTTTGTTGGACACTCAAACGTGCTTTACAAACAAATTGGAAGTGACACTGTAGAAAACGAGGGGAATCGCGGGCAGAAATGTCAGCTTGAACAGGTGAGTTTTTAGTAGTGATTTGAAGTGTTGCGGTGAGTCCGAGATCCTGATGGGTTGTGGGGGTAAGTTCCAGAGGGAGGGGGCGACCGCGGCGAAGGCTCTGTCCCCCATGGTCCGGTGCTTTGTCCTGATGAGGGGAGTGAGGTGGTCAGTGTCAACAGAGGAGGTCAGAGAGACAGGGAGGTGCCAGGTTATGGAGGGACTTGTAGGTGATGAGGAGGACCTTGTATTGAATGCGGTCTCTTGAAGTTTTTAGAGGTGGGTGGAGGGGAGACCGTACAGAAGGCTATTGCAGTAGTCGAGTCTGAAGGAGATAAAGGCATGAATGAGGATTTCTGCGGTGGGCTGAGAGAGGGAGAGGGGCAGAGACGGGCTTTGAATGAGAAGAAGGTAGAGTCCATTATGATACCGAGGTTGCGTAGAGAGGGAGAGGTGAAGAGAGAGATGTTCTGAGCAGAGGAGAGGCGAGCTTTGTTGGTTGATCTTATAATGTTTTTATTCAGACTAGCCCATTTTACGTTCTCAGTTCAAATGTCCCTCTGCACGTGTCTCCGCAGCATCGACCACATGACTCTCCTGGAGGGCGTCATCGTGCTGGAGGAGTTCTGCAAAGAGCTGGCCGCCATCGCCTTCGTCAAATACCACGCCACGGCCTCATCCTCGCCATAACCCCTCGAAAAGACCCTGTCATAGACCAAAATCTGTGCTTCTCTGTCTGCCCCAAGAGAGAGACAGGTCCTCACCACTGGGGGGCGCCCTACAGGTGTCCAACATGTGCTGCTCTGCCTCAGGTGGGGTAAGGTGCAACAAAATGTACCACAGAGAAAGTTGCTCACCTTTTAAAGATGGCTGGGAGAGCTTATAAGTTTGTGGTCTTGTGATACATATTTTGGACTATCCTGGGTCTAATATGCATACTTATAACATCTAGAACTTCATCAAGGACTAAACCAGGACTACGCTCTGGTCCACAAGTTCAGGTTTTGTCATTTGGTATTTGATTTCTATGGAAAATCGTAGCCAAAACACTGCCCAGTCTAAAGATTTGAAGATGTTAAAAATATTTGAGCAAAATCAGGCGTATGGGACCGTTCTGGTACTGCCTCTGTCCGCCAAAAGAGTTATCATTTTTAAATAGACACCTGTATTTATTTCCTGTCCAGTCTTCATCGCCTTAATGTGGACACTTCATCGTTTTAAGACTGTTCCCTTTTTGAAAATATTTTAACAAGACCCCATCTGTGTCGACTGTTTGACAATAAGAGAAAAAAAACAATATGTACCCGTAGTTACATAACACTTTTAAATGTCATTTCTTATTTATTGTACCTTTTGCTTTCAGGATGCCTTTAAAAATAATGTTGAGAAATTATTGTAATAGCAGAATCTATTTTTTGTTTCAGCGTTTGTGTTTGCGTCATCCAAAGATCTCACCATCGAAATGTGTCACATCCAGAGAAACATATTCAAATCTATAAAGTGGTAAAGATAAATACTACCAGTTTTCTTATAAAATAATGATTACAGAAAAAGATTTGGGTTCTTATTTGAAAATATGCTTGTAGACTTCAGCTAAACCTGTTTTAAATTCGGGTTGTTCACCAATTTAACCACGTCACAGTCTTCCACGTAACAGTGATTGAAAGAAAAAATTATAATAATGTTAAAGATGCACTTCATAATCTTTCTACTAAGGCTCCATCGCCAAATTATTATTGTTTACTCAATTATAGGTGTTTTTATTTCTCAAAAATATATTTAAAAACACGCATCCTTACAGTGAGTGGGGTTGCCTTTCCAAAAATCTGACCCGTAATTTGGCAAAAAAAAAAAAAAAAAAACTCCTTCTTTTCACCTTGAACAAATACTGAATGTCAATCTCCATGGTAACAAGCAGGTGGTTGGTCCTCACCCAGAAAAGTTCCACAGTGCATCTTTAATCTTATCTTGAATGGTTTCTCTGGATGTCGATCAAAGAAATAATTACTTTGTGCACAACCACTTTTTACTTTGTTACATTTTTGGTTTTCGTTCAAGGAAAACTTATATTTTTCCTGATTCTTTATTTTTTTGCAGTTTTCGCCAGTGTTTAATCCAAGGGACTCTCTTGTGCGTCTTATAAATAGTCTTATTCTAATATATTATTTTATCATTACAGAGATACTGCGTTTAACAGTATAAACTTGGTCTTATTTACCATAAGTATTACATTTATCATGATTTTGGATGATAATATATAAAGGGTGCTGTGTGTCGCTGATTCACTTGTTTTCGGTTGTTTCGTCAAAAAAAGTAAATGTTGAATGTATTAACAGGAGACTAAAATTGTGTGGGGAAATTTGAAGTTGGGTTGTATGAAGTGAACTGTTTAATCCTTCAAATTGATGATTCTGCGCTAAAAAGTTACCAACGAAGGAGAAACGTGAAGCTACACTCAGCTCGGAAATTACTAATAGATGACATTATAATTTTCCAAATATTGGTCTGTAATTTCAAAATGATTTTGGATTAGTTTTCACACTGGATGACCTACCTTAAGCTTTTTCATTAGTCCTGAGGCTGTGGCATAAATTAGTTTCATTTAATAGCATTTCTGGATTTGTAAGATATGATCTCAGTATGAATCTAATCTATAAACATTTGTCCGTAGGAAGTTTTTAAAAATAACTTGCACTATGTAGCTTTTCTGATGGGGAGATGTTCTCATAGTGATGTTTCTATGTCAGGGATAATTCACAGCATGACACTGAACTTCTCTGTTACACATGTGGCTCAAAAACTATTTAAAAAAAATGTGAGCTGGGGCTGCCTCTCCAGGGATTTGACCTGTAACTTGGCCTGGTGACATCGTCGTGGAGACAAATATGTTTAATGCTATACTTTACCACATGGTGACCCCTCTGCCAGAAAGGTTACATAGTGCTGCTTTAACAAGAAACCTGAACTGTAGGGCTGAGTTTCGTTAAGAAGTTACCGATACGATACGTACCTCGATACATAAGCCACGATATCTAGTACAGTGAGTAGGGATGTAACCATAACCGAAATATTGTGATATCGTATCGTCAAAGTTCTCACAATAATATCGTGGACCATCACAATATATCGAATTACAAGTCTCTTTGCTTAAATTAAGAGTTATTTTAGCTATTGGTGCAGCAATAGCTAAAAAAAGACAGGGAACTACATAGACCATGATCCTTTGCTCCATTTTAGTGCAGACTATAAGAAGAAATAACAGTTCTAAGCACTTTTAAGTCTTAGTTCTTTGGATTAAGCCTTGTCAAGGCATTTTAAGAGAAAAAATTAGAATATTAACAGTTTTGTTAGCCTCCACAAAATATCGCAGTAAATATCATACCGTGAGGTTCATACCGTGACAAAATCGTATCATGAGACTTGGATATCGTTACACCTCTATAAGAAACACAAACATTTTATTCATCAAAACAGCGAAAATGTCAAATGTGTCGCACAAACAAGTTTCCTTCCACTAAAGAAAAAACAAAACTGTAGCGCTGTAACAAAATAATTGAGTAAAATAAGCCAAAAAATACTCTTGGTGATATATTGATACAGCAGTCCCCAATATCGATACTGTATCATCACATTAAACAATACGATATATTTCAATTAGGGCTGTATATCATTAAGAAGCTACCGATACGATACATACCTCGATATATTGGCCACGATACGATACATATCTCGATACAGTGCACTTTCGGTTTGAAACGATATATTTCAAATCGATTTGATATGGTTTAATAAAAAAATAAAGGTTAAATCATGGCTGTGATACTAAAAGTCTCTGTTGAACCACTTCTTTTGCAAAGTTCATAAGAAATACAAACATTTTAATCATCAAAACAGTGAAAATGTCAAATGTGTGGCATAAACGAGTTTTCTTCCACAAAACTGTAGCACTGTAACAAAATAATATACCAAAAAATACTCTTGGTGATATATCGATACAGCAGCCCACGATATCGATACTGCATCATCACATTAAACGATACGATATAACGATATTTTGATATTTTTGCACAGCCCTACTGAACTGCACAGCTAATCAAAAACATGTTCACAATCATGTGTTTTTAAAGCGCCTCAGCAGCTCTAGGTAACAAGTCTCTCCAAATACATTATGCAACCCCACTTCAAAACCCTATTCTCTCCTCTATTATGTCAATGCCTTTGTGTGTCAGTGTGAATGCTTTCGTCTCAGATTCTGAATGCTGGAGTTTTGTCTGTCATTTTAATCTTTTGTTTAAAAAAAAGAAGAAAAAAATCCATAATTCACTATTTCGTCTCTGTTCCTCTCCACCCGTCACTCACGCACCTACGCCGCATATGCAACAATCCAATTTGCACATCTTGTAAATAACCATCGTGAAAGCTTTTGTTTCTTTCCCCAAATTATTATTTTTTCATAAACCAAAAGATAAAGTGTAAGAGTGACGCGTCTATTTTTAACTTTTTAAATTGAATCATGCACATTTTGTAATCTTTCCAATGGTCGTGTACAGTTGTATATTGTAACGTGTACAATAGCAATATAGAAAAACTACCTGGTGTAAATGCATGCCCATACATTATTTTTCTTTGTGTAAAAAGAGAAAATTGTTGACGATTTAATGCCTTATGACACTGTGGATCTTTGAAATTTTGTAGATTTGAAATTTTTGTTCTTGTTGCTTCTGAAATATAATTTGCTTTGTGGTTTACTCTGCATCCTTTGTTACATTAACTTGGGACAGTTCGGTTTTATCAAGATGGGTTATGGTGAAAATCGTTCTTTCACTCACTGGTTTTGGTGACTAAAATGAAATGTTATTAAGATATGTCACTGTCTTTTCAACAGATTGGAAAAAAAACATTGGTTAAAAAAATAAATTGCTTTCATTTGTTTCCCACGCACACAGTTATCATCTTTGTAATATTAACAAAATTACAGCAAAATCATGCGTCTCATTCAGTGTAATGTCAGACTATTCATGTTTCAATCATGTTTTTCATTAGAAACATCCAAATTGGAATAGACCTTAGTTTTCAGATGAAGTCACAACTCGGGATTGTTCACGGCACAATGTAATTATTTTAAAAAAGGAATTTTAGAAGCAAAAATAAGTAATTTCACTTATATTTAAAATGTCACATCAACTTTACTTTATTATTCAGAAGATTAGATTAAGTGAAATGGTCTATGTATTTCCCCATTTGAATTATTTTTTTTTTCATACCATTAAAGGGCCAATATTACACTATTTTCTGATGTTTCCTCATCAAAACATACCTGGAGTTGTGTTTTGTTTCATTCATGTTCATGTTTAACACACAGAACCTGCATATTTAGTTCTTCTTAGAAAAACTAAAACCACTGTTCCACCTTGTGATGTCATGTGGTAATACACAAAGAGCTCCACTTTGTTTTTAAACTCCATACACCTTCACTAGGAGCATTTGGATAATTTCAGAACTGAAATGATCAATCTCTACTGAACTAAGGTAAAAGGTAGTCAGGCTGGCACCACCTAGTGCCTCCGCTCAGTTTAATTTCTCTGCAGCGACTAGATTGAAATACACTAGACGATTCGCAAAAACAACAGAAGTGCGAGTTTGGGCACCAGCCAATCAGCGAAGAACCATATATTCTGTGTTGTCAATGATTCCCAAGATCGAGGATTTAAAGCTGGAACAAAGAGAATGTTTTGTGAATTTCAAGGGGAAAGACGTTATTGCCCTTCTTTCTACCAGATTTGTGAAAAGCTTAATACATTACATACGTCACGACCAAATAGCAGCGATTGGTTAAATTTTAAAAAAAAGTACCCACCTACCATCGAGCGAATGAATTCTAATGCTATGAGGTCAGACGGTCTCTACGAAGTGAAACCGTCTGATGAATCAGGCTAGGTAAAAGGAGCTGTTAACTTGAAAACTACACAGAGCATTTTGAGCTTTGGAAATACACAGTAATTATAAAGGATCACTAAAATGAGTGTGAATGAAACAAAACACAACTCTGGTTATGTTTTCGAGGAAGTGACATCATTATAACATGGCTTAGAGCTCACAAGAGTCAATGTTGTGTATTGTAGCACCTTTAAATTAATCTGCATGTTCATTTGAGTAGAATAACTTGACATCCACACACCAGTATTTCGTGCACAAAGGCATTGGGTATAATTTATTTCACTTCAGCCGACTTCATATGTTATCACTGCTGTTTACAAATATGGTTTTAACATTCAACGTCCCAATTAAAAAAATATCTTCTTCAACAAGAGATGTGGTCATTTTTTTAACACTTTTCAATACATTTTAGCTCGTTTTTATTACAAAACATCTGTACAAGAAACACAAATACAGGAAAATAACAATTTGACTTTTGAAATTTAAAACCACAACATTTTTCATCAATTCCCCTTTTTGACTTGAACTGAACTTATGTCCGCATGTAAACAGCAAATATATATTTATAGCTAGTTATAAATTGAAGTATCTGGATCATTTCTATACATTTTGAATTGCAGTGATTTGTAAATTATGAAAAATAGGCACTATGGTGCAGTAAAAGGCGCTGTCTAAAATCCAAGTTCATTCTATTTCTGAGATACAAAAGTGCCGTCCTTTCTAATGATCAAAAATCTATGTCAAATAAAAAAGACTTACAAAAATATCCTATTTATTTACTGAGCAGGTTTAGCATTATGACCATGTGGAACTAGTGATGTGGATTATGACTTAATTATCAATTTGAGCTACACCAAGTCGTCTACGTGCATGAGCTCACCATTTTATCCCTGTAATTTTGATACTGAACAAAGCAGGAAACAGGCCAAATGAGCTGCAGTAAAACAGGTCTAAATCTGAACTAAATCAGACCAGCACCAGGACTAAACCAGGTCTAATGTAGCTCTAAATCAGAACTAAACCAGACTAGGACTAAACCAAGTCTAATACAGTAATAAACCAGGTCTAATCGAAGTCTAAATCGGAACTAAACCAGACTTAGACCAGGATTAAACCATGTCTAATGTAGCTTTAAACTGGAACTAAACCAGATCTAAACGAAGTCTAATCTAGATCTAAATCCGAACAAAACCAGACCTGTACTAGGACTAAACCAAGTCTAATGCTGTACTAAACCAGGTCTAATCTACAGTAGATCCAAGTCAGAACTAAACCAGACCTATACTGGGACTAAACCAAGCCTAAAGCAGTTCTAAACTAGGTCTAATCTAGATCTAAATCAGAACTCAACTAGACCTAGACCAGGACTAAACCAAGTCTAATACAGTACTAAACCAGGTCTAAACCAAGTCTAACCAGGACTAACACAGGACTACAGACCTTCACATTAGGTACTGACCAGTGCAGACCAGGAACACCCCACATATCTCCAAAACTACAGCTCTGGTGGATATCTTTTAAATCTCTTAAATCTGAAATTGAAGAGTGTATAATTCAGCCGAAAAATGAAATAGACCAAGGTTTTTCAGAGCGAATATATTTTTACCACTCATTCAAGAGAGCTGTAAATAAATTAAGTGACAATTTTACCAAACATTTACAGGAATCAGATCATGATTTGTTTATTTTGACATACTGCTCTGCCCCTGTATGTACCAATTCTGTTTTGGCTCTAAAAATGTCATACATCTTCTGGACAAAATGATATAATTCTGCTTGTATACCAAACACAAGCAGGTGTCATCATGATCAGAAGCATCGGAAATTTCTTTAGTGGTGCTGGTGGTGTGTTCACGGGTCATACCCACAGTCTCACACCTTTATCTTTACACTGTTGAGAGTTAGTTTATATCATGCAATGAGGCTTTGTCACATATGAACGAACGGTGCGATTTTGTTCAGAGCAAAAGAAACTACAATTAAATGACTCTGTGTTAGTGATTGAAACCATTTTATAATAACAGCTGGTGGTAGTTTTGAGGTTGCTTGGTCACCTGGACTCATTTATTTTAGTGTAAATTTGTCCAGTTAGCTAAATCAAAGCTGCAAAATATTATAGAAGTCATTTTATTGCAACTCAAGCAGAAAAAAAATCTCTACTGCAACTAAATGTATTGCAAATATAGTGATCAAAACTACTCAAAAGTGCTTAAGTAATTTTAACAATGGTCGATTTCAGTTTTGCTACCTGACTGCCTAGCTCGCCCAATTGCAACTTCGAAAACCTATGAATTATTTAACAACGTTTAGTTATTCCTTGGCAAAAAATGCATACTTTTTGTGCTATTAGTTTTTTGTGAGTTTAAATTTAGGATTGTCAAAGTTTAAGGGAAGGTGCCAGAACCATAAAAAGTATATTTAGCTTTTTTTTTGTGTGTAAAATTTAAAAAAAATTACACTTGTGGCTTTTTCTCATGATCATAACATAGCTTCTATATCATGATTCGAGACAGTCCACATTTGAAAACAGTAACTTTCTGAAAGTCGCTGTGAAATCTTACAGTTGGTGACAAGATGGTGCGTTAAATTAATCATACAAACACTGTAAAATAACCCTTTATGCAAACCATTTTCTTACATACAAAAAGAAAAAAAACTACGTAAAAAAACAACTACATGCCTCGCACAAACTAAACCAGGCTAAAAATACAAGTTAGAAAAATATTTACATTTGAATTTGCCCCATTTACAAACCCTTTATGTATTCATGTATGTGCTGGACGGCCCACATTCAAACTCGTAAGTCTCTTTGGCTGGCACACGTAGTGGGTTTTACACCATTGACAAAAATATCTAGCATAGAAAAGGCCATCCAACACAAAGGATGTAGTGATATCATTTCCTATGCAATAAAACTATATATATATGTATTATATATTTACCAAACATACTGTAGAAGACCACACATGCCCGCGACTGTGTGAATACATGAAAATCACATTCAAGATTGTGATGTGAAACTTTCGGAAGGCATCAATAAATAAAGATGTCAGTCCATGTGGCCACCCCCTGTCGTCTCTTTTTGGGGGGGTCCCGTGAAAAAGGGGGGAGGGGAGGGGGTGTCCCGTGAGAGAGGGGTGGGGTCAGTCGCCCTTTGAGTTCTGGGCGGCCTCTAGATTGACCACCTGTAGCTCTGTGAGGTTAGTGCTGCTGCCGCCCGGCTGCTGACCAATCACCATCTGCAGGGAGAGAGCAGGTGGATTAGTCACAGATTACGTAAAGGGAAATGTGCACGAAAACATAAATGTACATGAAACAGAGGCGGAGGTGACACCCCGAACTGTGGACCATGTGGGACGTCCTAAAAAGATGTTACAGTATTTGAAAAAGCCTGTAGATGAAACTGAGGAGGGGGACAGCTGAAGATTCTGTTAAAATGCCAATATCTCTGTGTGTGTATGAAAAAGGAAAGTTGTTGTGCATCATAGTGAAGATTTCTCTTTCCAATTGATGTGATTTATTGTAACCAAACTGAAATGTACTGATTTAAAATGTTTTAAAGTGACTATCAGTGTTGATCACTGTTGGGAGTAACACGTTATAAAAGTAATGAATTACTGTAATGCATTCCTTTTTGCTGTAACGCAGTAATGTAAGATATTACAGGGAAAAAACTAATATTTTACTTGGTACAAATGTCAGTAATGCGTGTCACAATGCATTTTTAACCTGGATTGAAGTGGTGGGGTTTTCATTTTTCTTCATACAAATTCGCTAAAATCACCGCGATATCAGCAGAGGTGAAACACCATCATTACGGTTCTGAATGTCGGGACGGGCCCAAACGTGCGCCCACGTAGACTGTTGGGTAACCGTGGGCGAAAGGACCAGCACAGAGCTCAATGCTACATGGGGCTAATCGCAGCCGACGCCCGATCGTGTTTTGCAGACACCCTGCTCCACGGACTCGAAGTTCTCTCAGGGGCGGTCCTACATTCCAAGTCCTAGTCCAAGATTGGTCCTGGTTCAGTCCTTGGTTCAGTCCTCGGTTCAGTCCGTATGTACGGCACAAAAGTTCGGCATCTTCTCAGTTACTTTGGTCAGAGTAACTTAAAAGTGCTGCAATAGTCGTGTAATGCCTTACATTTTAAATAAAGTAATATTGTAATGTAACAAATTACTTTGAAATGACAGAAAGTAATAAATAGCGCATTACAGTTTTGAAGTAACTTGCCCAACAGTGGTGTTGATGTTTTGTCTGGAAAAGGGAAAAAGAGGCAGATAACATAAGATTACTCTTTTCTTCTGCTCATTTTCATTCACTTCTTGTATGTTTGATGTTGTGACACGTTTATTTATTTCATTCATGAAGTATAAAAATACATTAACAAACAAAAGTCTCTAATTACTAGCTCTGTCCACAAGAAACAAAGTTCTACACCGTTTGTCAAAATCTTTTCATGTCGAAACTCATAGATAAGCGAGAAATTTAAGACTGTTGAAACTGAGATTTGGGCAGTAATGAGCTGGTGTATAGTTTGTCAGTATCTGCTTTACAAAAACTGTTACAACTTAAGACAATTTTGCTTGATTTTAAAGCTTAATTCTGAACATATTTTAGCGCTAAGATCCCATTCGTCCATCAGAAAAGGGTGTGACCAACACAGAGCTCCTGCCACTCCACACCGCAGCACTGCACTGGAGAACAAACAATAGCAACTTCAGATTCAAACATCACTAACAAAGCCAATTCAACAGGTGGTGTGTGTGCGCAGGATGTTTTCAGACCCACATTAATAATTTCAGTATTATTATGGTGTAGTTTGATACTAAAGCCGATTCAGCGTTCCTAAAATTCTACACCTTTTATTTTACGCAGCAAATTAAATACAGACTTTCAGAATTAATTGCACAAATATGAAAAAAGTATTCAGACTTTTCAACTCCTTAATCTGCAGTTCTTTATGATTTCTCTCCATCAGTTTATATTACAGTTTGTATTACTTTTGGGGCGATCCACCACCTGCTCGTCTTTGCCTGGGGTGTTCCACCACACGGCATTAAACATTTATTCCTTCTGGGAGTGAGCTTGCCTCTCCACATTCTGCCGCACTGTGGAACATTCCAGGCAAACAATGAAAAAATCCTACATTAAAATGAACTTTAAATACCTTTAGTATCCAGCTGCCAGATAATAATATTGAAGAATTAATCCTGGTCTGAAGTCTGAATCCAATGTTTATAATTATCTAAATGTACTAAATAACAACACAATATTTAAGTGGGATTATTTGAAGTATCTTATCCTCCATGCATCGTGTATTTTTGCCTGATAATACTCTTAATAATCTCGTGTGAAGCCATCCAAACTCATTCAGACCAAGCAGGACCAGTGGGCCCGGTGTAGTTTTAGTTTTAGGCTTTGGTGCAGGGCATGCGGCAGGTGCAAAGGGGAATTTGAGAGTTTCACTTGTAAAATGCAGATCTTGCCGTACTGGGTGAAGCTGCACCGCCGACACCGGGATCTGGACTGTGCCCGGAGGAGCCGTGAGGAACACCTGAGGGACACCGCCTGAGGAGAGAGACACAGAGAGGGGGGAAGATGGGCAGAGAAAGAAAGAAGGAGGGCAAGAAGAAAGGGGATAGAGCGCAAACAGAGAGAGATAGAAAGATAAAAAGATAGACCGATGGATAGAGATAGGGACAGAAAGAAAAATAGAGATAAAGGAATTGGCAGAGAGCGGAAAAGGAGCAAGTGTGTTGAGAAATAGGGTAGGCGAGGAGAGACGAGGAGGAGGGGGGAGCGGAAAAGCAAGAGTTAAAACATGTTTGGGTTATGCAGTTAATTACATTTTCATTCCAGACTCCGTGATCAGCTTGGTCTTGGTCTCGAGTGGTCTACAGCCAATCCTTTGTAATTTAACTATTTTTTGTGTTAAATGGCACTGATTATAAGTACGTCTTTGTGTTCAAGGAATCGATACAGACATTCATTTTTATTATTTTTAACAAGACAAAACAAAGAAACAAAATGATTGATCAATACGTGGAAAAACATCATGATTCATTTTTTGACAGAACACCCAACTTTAGTAAAATAATGGTAACACAAGTGGCAACTAAAATAGAAAAATGATAAGCGCATTGTGAAAAGTAAAATAGAAAAATGGTTAGCCTTTCTGTGACTTCTGGTGTCGGTTCTTGCAACAACAGAACAGACAATAAAAAAAACAATTATAATGTCCTTACTGTTGCCATTTTTAACGCTTATCGGATAAACTATTTGCAAGTGTAATGTCTTTATAGGATATTTTAAAGCACAAATCTTACAGCTGTATTAACAAACTTTTGCTCTAAAACTACTCTAAGCTTAAAGACGCTGGATCAGATTTTTTTTTTTTATATTAGAGCAAAATATGTCCCAGTACAAGCAGCTCTTGAAGTCAAAATGTATCCACTGTGTACTGTACATCTAATTAGAAAATGTTTTATTGGACATTCAGGAAGTGCTCAGTTAGCATACTAATTGTCAGCTTTAACGGGATGGCTCTCGTCTCTGAAAGTTGTGAAAAGAGATAAACTAATTACGATGTTGGGAATGCATAAGGTAAGTGAGGATTGAGGAATAACTTTGGAGCACTGCAACAGTAAAAATCATGTACAGCTCCTTTACATTTGTAGTAAAAGTGTTAAATCATGGAAAGCTCGATAACAACGCAAACATTACATGAGCTGAAAGTCCCTCAGTCTGTACCTGTGTCCTGTGCTTGTGGGTGGGAGACCTGCATTGTGGGGGTGCCCTGGGAGAAGGCGTTGAGCACGGTCAGCCCCCCGTCCAGCGCCGGCGTGGAGGCGTACATGACGGCGTGTGGGCTCGGGTACATCATGTGACCCGCCACTGTGGTCGGGACGGACGACGTGACGATGGTGGCCGGGAGACTCACTGTGGCTAAGGAGAGAGGAGATATACTGAGAGATGAGCAAAAAGTATGTTCAGCCACCAGGGGGAGCTTTGTCTTGAACTTGTTGGTTTCATTAGATTCACTAAGACAATTACAACTTAAGACAGAATTTCTTGTTCTTCTTCAATTCAAGGACACAAATTTTCAAAGCGGTTTTCTAGGAACTCAAGTGGCTGGATTTAAAAGGTACAGAAAAACCACCGCACAAAGTTGCATCACAAATTATGACGTAAATCACATAAAATTACAAAGCAAAAGTACATGCAAAATTTCTTTTATAAACACATCTATAAAATTTAAGGTTAAACAAAAATCGCTACCAACACTAAGGACACTATGTAATTATGTTCAGTAATTATGATCATTTACAATGTTTTTAATAAGAAAACCACAGAAGTATTGATAATTAAAAATGTTGTGTTTTCTTCTAAGTACAGTCAGTCTGTATGGCTAATTACCCTTCTTATTAAGCCTGAAAACTATTCAACATTTACAGCTTGGATTTATTATAATTCATTATATAACTGGTTAATCTATTATTTTCCATAACTGTAGCTACAACTTCCAACATCCACAATGCAAAAGGAAATGTGACTACACTTCACTGTGGCCCAAAGGTTGATTATGAATCATTTATTTCAACGTATAAGTTTGTATTTATTGCTTCATGCTCACTTGAGTCACCGGAGTTCCTAGAAAACAGCATTTCGGGGAAAGCAATAACGTCTTTAAGTGTCCTTTAGCCTGGAGCTGAGTCAGTTTGATACGTACCGGTGGAGTTGGAGGAGGAGTGGGAGATTTCGGGGCTGCTGTCGCTGTTAGTGTTGGGCTGAGTGTTGGGGTGGACCTGAATGGCCTGGAGCTGCTGTGGCACTCCTGCTCCTGAACACAAGGGGGCGACATTCGGGATACAATAAGTGAAAGAACAGAAATACACAAGGACAAAGGCACAAACAGAGGAAGGGGGACTGTGACAGGGTGAGGTTAGTTGTAGAAGGCGGCACTTAGCATCAATCATGAGTAATTATTGATATAAATACAGCTCTGAAATTGTAAAATAAAAGATTGCAGATTTTCACAGGCCTACAGGTGGGACATATATCAAAAATAATTGATATAATATGTCTTTTATTTTTTTGGAGTTATGCAAAATGAAAATATCAAGTATAAGACTACTAAAAATAACCTCAAACTCATACATATGTCTAATGCAAACTTAAAACTTATTTTAGCACTCACTTTTTTGGTTAATTTCATGATTTATTCACATTTTGTGCTAGACTTAAATCCCAGCCAAGACCTTATCAAACACATTTTAGCCCATTTCTTATGGATGGATTGTAAATACACAATACAATAAGTTATTTTACAGTTTACTTTGAACTTAAAGATGGTCTAATCTTCTGAATTTCATTGTGACGTCACAGTGGAGCACAACAGGGGCTCCTTGGGATATTTTTAGATCAATAAGGGGTCCCTGGCCTCAAAAAGTCAAATCAAACAGCCAGACCGGGACATCAGATCGTCTGTTTGTAAAGCAAATAAATCAATAGCGTCGGCATCAGTCTCTCAATCTCTAATGTTTTTTTAATGCTTTTTTTGTCCACGTTGGATGGATTTGTTCAGTCGAAAGTGCACCTGCTATGACAAAAATGACTTGTTGTTGCCTCTTATTTTCCTCAGAGCTGTATTAGGGAGCACTGGCAGAGTGGTTAGCCTGTAGCATTAGCGTGAGCAGTGACAGCCGTGGTTAGCGTGAGCAGCGTGTTTCACCTGTGAGGGAGACAGCGGCGGGGAAGCGGAAGACGGCCTGCTGCCCCTGCGCTGATGCTGGGGCGGCCCCGTGCTGCCCCTGAAGAGCCAGAGAGTGAGACTGCAACTGACTGAGGGGGATGGTGGGGGTGCCAGGGGGGAGAGGGGTGCCCGCTGCACACAGGCACAAAGCCAAGAGAGGGCGAGGGGGAGGAGAGAGGAGAGGAGAGAGGAGAGGGAGGAGAGAGGTGTTGAGCAGAGTGGAAATTTATACTGGTGCTTTGAATCAAGAAGCGGGGTATTCCATAAAGTAACATAAGAAGGAATGTGTTTTCATTTCATCTCAATTGTGCTTTATATTTTGGTGAACTGTGGGGAAATAGAGAGTTAAAAATCTTAAATCAGCCACAGTAACTTTTTGGCCAACTTTTGCAACTTTTTAGCCAAAAAATAGATTTAAGAAGCATGCTTTTTCTCCATTTTGGTTGTTTATGGCACTCAAAAGTTAGAAAAACATGCGTCCTTACTGTGAGAGGTCTTGCTCCTCCACAAACCTGACTCTTATTTGGCCACATGGAAATCTTGTTTATCTATAATCTTCCAAAGTATGTCATAAAACTGAATTTCCATGGAGAATGTTCTGAAGTATGGTTTTAACTTTCTATTTCCGTGTAATCATGCAGGTGCCACCTTCTGAAAGTTACATACTGTACCTTTAGGCAATTTAGGAAATGTGTTTAATGAAATTACGTTATTATACCAATAAGGTCAAAACAAAACAAAATATAGAGCAAGGAAGGAGATTTAAAAACCTTACAGTAAAGTCAATGTGCTGCTACTTTGATGGAATACCTTCACTCTCAGAATTCAATCATCTCAAGATTATAAATAAATTTGTATATAGATCAGACAGAATTTACTAATTTTGCAAAGCGAAATGACATTTTAGAAACATGCAGTCAATAACAATATAAAAATAAGGCTGACCAAATCCTAAAAATAATTAAAATAAATACCAAAACACCAAAAGAATGAAACAAAATTAAAAAAAACTGTAAAGCACTGAGAAGCAACCCTCGGACCAAACCTGGACGAATGCAGAACTATTCCAGATAATCATGCTCAAATCCTTTACTGCACCTTATGTTTTAAATCTTTATAAATTCTGAATATTGGTGCTAGTATGTGTGATGAAACATGTTATTGCAGTCACGATTCCCTGTGATCCAAAACAAGTATTATTTGACAGGTTTGATCTCTGTGAGACTTTTGGATCTAAATATATGGACCTGAAATCCGCCGAAGTCTGTTGTGGTGGAGAGTGACGCGTTTGATGCGTCTGTTGCTTCGTGAAAATATCTTGGGCATAATGTTGTCTGAATGAGTCACAGCTTCTATGGAAAAATCATCTACATCGTAATAAGGAAAATCTTGGACTGACAGTGCAGTGTTGCTGTGCATTTTCGAGTATCACAAAGCATCTGCAGTCACGCCTCAAAAATCAGACTCATACCTCGAAATATTGTTATGTATTGAAATATTAAAACAGCAAAACTTCTTTATTTTTTTATTCTACAATCTGCAAATAATCTTCAGAAAGTTGGTTTCAAATTTCACCCGTGTAGTCCCAGTGTGTCGTTGAATGTGATTGGATTTCTGGTGGCGCTCGGTGGAGAAGCTGTAAGTGCAGAACGGCAGCCGCAGCGATTGTCATTTTTTCTCAAATACAAGAAAGAACACTGTCTTTTAAAACTCAGAATTACTTTACAGAGAAACCAAGTATAATTTCATACATTTACTTTTTTCCCAAATTTCTATGAATAAAAAATAGACGGATATAAACAGAAAGAAAGGTAAAAGTAAAAAGCAGGGAGTTTATGTTGGCACAGATAATTTTCATCTGAATAATTTAATCTCAGATAATTTGTTGATTATAATGTATCGTACTGCCAATATTTAATGTATATATTAGCTCTTTAAGTAGTAATTTTTGCTTTGTATAGTTACATTTAAATGTTTAATATCAGCAAAACATTTATTGCCATCGTCAGCGAATAAAAGTGTGATTTTGTGACGTCAATGCTTAGAACAACTTGCTTACCGTTTGTTGTGACTGTCATTTTTCGACTGTGGGGGCAGCGAATTACGTGGGCGGTCTGCTTTATTAATGGAAAACACTGAGAGGAAAATAAGTTGCTGAGTTCGATCTTGAAACTGAATAAATTTGAAGCTCCGCCCCCACATTTGGTCACATGTTTTGCAGACAGTTGCCGTGGTCAATGGACGGGCCCTTTCAAGCTGTCGACTGCTCAGGCTTTAGTCATTCATGGAGGGGGGAGGGAGAGGAGAAGAGAGGGGGGAGAGTGGAAGAAGGGGGAGAGAAGGAGGGTATAGGAAGGGAGAGAGAGGGCAAAAGGAAGGGAGAGGGAGAGTGTGAAAGAGAGGGGAGAGAGATGGACAGAGGGGAAAGAGAGATGGCAAGGGGAAGGGGTGAGAGCAGGAGATAGAGGGGGGTGTTGTTCCACCTGGCATCGCAGTTATGTGGCAGACAGGTGGTGCAGAGGAGAGCCACAGAGCCACAGTCATGAAGAGGAGGAGGAGGAGGAAGTGTCCGTGAGCTGCCATTCACACTCACGTCTTAAAAGTCCCTATACCCACATTTTTCCCATGTATTAAACCAAAATATGTCTCTTTTCTTCAGATATATTGTATAAGCAGCTCTTGAGGTTACAATAAGTCAGGCGTGAACTGTCCGCACCTAATTAGAAAGCGATTAATTGTCCAATAATCAGAAAAATATCAAACTTTTACTTTTACCGGGATGTACAAAACTCTGCACTGGTCTCTTAAGAGTTGTGAAAAACGCTTATAAATACTGGTGAATAATTAGTACATTCAGAACGCATAAGAGGAATAATTTTGGACCACTGTGAACGGTTTAAAAAGAATGTGTTACTTTTTTTTTTTATTAAAGACAGTAAAAATCAGCTACTGAGCCTTGAAATGGGTTTAATGTGGTGGTTAAGGTGGTTATGGGGCTGAATAATTCACCTAAATCAAAACGAAAGTACAATTGGAATTTGAGTGGTCGTATTGTCAAATGTAGTAGAAAAAAATCTATTCACGGTGTTACCTGCTAGATTTGTAGTTCTGTAAAGCTGCTATTTATGTTACTGGTCTCTCAGATGTCACTTGTACAAAATGTGTAAAAAAAAAAAGTTCCAAAAAGAGTGCTTCCTGGACGTCCAGAGGATAATACGCAGTAGATAGAACACAGTGGTGCTCTTTGAGGAAGGGATGTCAATTTAAAGATGCAAAAAACCCATGGCACTCACTGGTTAAAATAAAATGCCTTTATTAATTTAGGACATGTCGTAATGGATAACTTACAAAGTCCCGACGCGTTTCAGCTTTCCTCGTTTGTAAAAAATGTGTATTGAATTTTAAAATATTAGCAATCATAATACAGTGTACACTCTCGATTCATATTTGTAGAGCCCAAAAATCTAAACACAAGACAGTCTAAAATCATGTGTCCTCCATGAATGTGAGACTGTATGTGTGATATTTCAAAACAGTGTGAACCAGAACTACTACTAAACTGCGACTGAATGTCCATGTGAGATTTAAAACGTGAAGTGGACATACTGAATCACAGATAACAACTGACACAACTGTAGTCATGCATCAAAGGTTTGTTTACAATCAACTCATTTACTTTGGCACAGCAAATGTAACACTCCAGGTCAGATATTACAGCTACTGTGAGCAGGAGAGCTACAGTATTTCAGAGGTCGACTGTGGAGTTGCATCAGTTATTCAGCAAGTCAAAATAACTTCTTTACAAGCAGGATATACTGTATATGATGTGTAGTATTTGTTTTATTTGAGAGGTTAACACACAGACTATGAACGTGATGAAGGAAAGCGCCAAAATATGATCAAGTCTGGATCAAGAAGAATCATAATCATACAACTGTGAATTGCATTTCTTAAATTCACATCTCTGAACATTTAAACATGTACGAGGTAACTTTTCTGAACAGGTGTCTGCCTTTTACTCATTTATGTGTCTGCTTAGTCTGGAATGTTCCACAGTATGGCATTAAACATGTCTGTCAAGCTTTAGTTCATTACTGTTTTCATTGCTAAACGGCACTTTACAAGCTCCTTACTATACATTTCACTCTTAATATTTTTATAAACATCACTATTTTTTCCAAATATTTTTTCCAGTCCATAATTTCTGTAGACAACCGTCTTTGTTTTATGTGTAGTTAACTTCATCGTAATCTTAATGTCAGTATTTTTATCCACACATTTTTCAGTAACAGTAATGCCAACAACTGGTTTGCCAACCGTGCACTTCCTGATAAGACAATAAAAAGCTTCATAATTAGATGCAAACTGCACACAGTGGACTTATATATGGTATACAAGTAGCTCTTTAGGTAAAAAAAAAAATCTGTACTTGGGGAGCACAAATTTTGCTTAAATACAGTCTCCAGTCAATAGAATATCATGAAAAAGTTCAATATTTTCTGTCACTTATTTCGAAAGGTCAAATCCGTATATTATATAGATACAGAGTAAAACTGTCAAGCCATTATTTCTTGAAGTTTTGATAATTATGGTTTAGATATAATGAAAACACAAAGTTCTGTGTCTTAGAAAATGAGAATATTACATAAGATTTTTAAAAAAGTTATTTTAAACAGAAATGTTTCAATGAATGAATGCGGTGTGGCATGGAGGCAATCACCTTGTAGCACTGCTCAGGTGCAATAGAAACCCAGGTTGCTTTGACAGCAGCCTTCAGCTTCAGATCATCTGTATTGTTGGCTCTGGTGTCTCATCTTCCTCTTCCTGAAAACTCACCTGACCTGAACCCCAAAGAGAATCTCGGGGGTTCAGGTCAGGTGAATCTGCAGGCCAATCTCTGCTTGTGTGGACATGTGCCAAGTCCTGCTGGAAAATGAAATCAGTATCTCCATAAGGCTTGCCATCAGAAGGAAGAGTGAAGTCTCTAAAAGGGAACTGCGAGAATGTTCTGGTAGAAGGCTGCATTGACTGTGGATGTTAGAAAACAGTCTACCAACACCGGCAGATGACCCAGCAGCCCAAATCACCACTGACTGTTCGATCGTCACACTAAACATCAAGCAACGTGGGTTTGGTGCCTCTTCGTCCTTCCTCCAGACTCTGGGACCTTGATTTCCAAAAGATATGCAAAATGTCTTGAAAAGAGACTTTGGACCACAGAGCAATAGTCCAGCTCTTTTTCTCCACAGACCAGGTAAGACGCTTCTGACATCGTCTCATGTCCCATACAGACCCACAAATTCTTGAATGGACTTTGCTTGAGAATCCTCTCAAGGCTGCTGCACCTTTTCATACCTTATTTTTTTCTTCCACTCAGGTTTTTATGAATATGCTTGGATACAGCACTCTGAACAACCAGCTTCTTTAGCAGTGACCTTTTGTGGATTTCTTTTTGTGGAGGTGTGAGTGACGGTCTTCTGGACATCAGTCGAGTCAGCAGCCTTCCCCATGTTTTTGTAACCCACTGACCCAAACTGAGAGACCATTTAAAGGCTCAGGAAACCTTTGCAAGCTTTTGAGCTGATTCAGGTATAACACCGTAACTTTCAAATATTGTTTTTTTTTTCCACAATATTCACATTTCACAGAATTTTGGGTTTTCATTTTCTGTAAGCATATTCATAAAAATCTGACTTGACTTTCTGAAATAGGCGGAAAAATACTGAACTTTTACATAATACTCTAATAATTGGAGACTGTAGACTGTAAATAGGGAAAACTTTGGTACAAGGCTTTTATTTCATTACATTAATTAAGACACTTTCCTATTCATACAAACAGCCTCTGCTAACAACAAGCTAAGCCAATTAAGTCAGCATTTCATGGAGGATAGTTCGTATCACTACCCCTTAAAAGTCCCCGGTGCGGTGGACCATTTCACTAAAGCTCCCCTTAACGAATGGGTCATGTCTGGTTCAGGCCCAGTGTCTGCTTAAAGAACAACTCTATTATAATTCTCGTCCAAGTCGTTGAATATTCATGACTAATTACAGCCTGTATTGTTGTGGCCTCCCTGCCCTGCCCTATTGTGTCCATCTCACCTAATTATTCCTGCCCCCCAAATGACAATCAAAGCCAGCACTGCCAATAGACTTCCTGGATACGCACAAGAGAAAGTGAAGGAGCTGTTGTATGACGTAAATAGTGTGATAAGAGAAAGGACAGTGGATGTAAGATGGTGGATACAGGGTCAAAGCGAGATGCCATTCAAATTATAATGAGTTCATAACCAATGCTGTGGAGTAACAAAACATGAAGCTCTGGGTGAAGTGTGTGATTGTAAAGAAGAGCTTACATCAAGATGTAAAATAACACTTCAGAAATGGCAATGCACAGTTTGTTTTTCACTGATAAATTAGTTTTATAATAATTCATATTTTAGTGACGTAAGAATTTTAAATGAAGTTAATTGGATACAGTTTCAGAAGCTTCATGTTATATTCATCAATATCTACTAACTTTTCTGGTATGGTATTACCCTCTCAAAGTTGTATTTGCAGTGATTTGTGCGTGGTTGAATAATCTTTAATCACTAATTTTCAAGACGCCTTATCAACACCCACTTTTTCACCACCATTGGCTCATGTCCATTGCTACTTTGTTCTCCAATCGAACATCGAGGAGTCATTTTGGTACAAGCGCAATCAGAGACAGCAACCTGGTCCCCCATGAGGCATAGGTGGATGCAGTTCATCACCAAGGAAGCCAGCTTATGAGGAGCCCAGCCCATACCACTGTTGTATGTGTGCCAACTGGTGTGAGGATTGGGTGAATATTTTAGCCCGCAGATGGTTCAGAAATTGCAGAAATTGCCTATCCTTTATAATGGTGTGACCTTTCAATTGACCCGTGTGACCTCAAATGACCTCGGATTGTCACCAAACTTTTTGAGGCATCGGGCACGGGGGATGACCCACATACCAAATTTGGTGACAATTGGTCCATTATCGGAATTATCGCGGGTGGACAGACACACAAAGACACACAGACACACAGACACACAGACACACAGACACACAGACACACAGACACACAGACACACAGACACACAGACACACAGGGTGAATACAAAACCTGGTCAACTCTTCGGAGACCAGGTAAAAAATCTGCTATTCGCTGGTTTGATCTGCAGGAGTTGCAGACTTTTTGCTGTGATGAACTGTGACACCAGCTCCCATTTGGCATTGCGGTTTTCTATGGTGAAAGTCAGTGGACTTGTTCCTCTTATTAAGTCATTTTAGATGAATACTGCACTAGATGAATTGCGCAAATTATACCAATGATTCACGAGTATCATAAATTATAACTACACAACAGGCTCAAGCAGAGTCTGCTCTTTAACAATAGAGTATTACCGTGAGTTACTTTTCATATATAATGTTCATTTTTTTTTTTTTTTTTTTTTTTTTTTTTTTTACAGGAAGAAAACATTGTTGTTCATTGTATTAAAAGGCATATAATAGTTACTATAGTGATCAAAAGTTTAAACATTAAGTGAAAGCAGTGACACTAATGTATTCTCCACAAAGTGTGTGTTAGTTATTCAAATAAACAATATGAACCATCAACAAAATATATGAGAAACACTGAATATGAAGTTATAGAGGTGTCTAATTCTATTTTTAAGTGAAACGTTGTAGCTGTGTTTTGTAAGTTTAAGTATTCAATATGTCCAGGTGGAGCAGTTGCTGTAGTTAAGAATAAACATATCACAAAAAACAGAGTGTATATGGTTAGCTAAACCAATTTACCAAAGCAACAGGGACATAACACTGTTCCTTTGTGGAATACAAACTAAAAACAAAAATGACTGCAAATTAGCCCAGAATTAAAAAATCATAAAGATAATTCCCAACTCCAGTGCAGTACATTATCATACAGAGTGACCTACCGGGCATGAAGGTGAACCCTCCAGGCAGCTGCATGACGCCGGCAGACGGCCCCGCGGCTTTCAGCACTGTCCCGTTGGCACTAATGTTGCTGTTGGCAGACACGGGGGCCAGGTAGTTGGTGATGGGGTACCCGCTGCTCACCTGCATCGTGGTGGAGGTGGTTGGGACTGTAGCCTGGGTGCTGCTGACCGACCCGGGCAGGTTGGCGACGGTGAACGTGGGCTTTAGAGTGTCCTGGAAGAGACAAGACGACACAGATTTGTAAATGTTGAAGAATAATAAGTGAAAAAGCAAACAGAATTCACCACAGTTTTCTAAGAGCCACATCACAATTCCAATTTTATTAAAATTCTTGAAGTTATCTGCTGTTTCTGAAAGTTCACTCCTCACTGTGACTGGTTAAATCCACTCAGAGCAGGATGGAGGCTGACCAACAGGAGGAATGGGTTGTAGAAAGTGTGGAAATCAGGGAATCACAATATGGAGACCAAAATAGCAGATTGCCTCAAGGATGAGATCACGATTCAGCTTTTATTACTATATTGTTCAACCCTATTTGGAGATATGCAAGATAAGAATACTGAGCATGCTGTCAGAAATAAAACTATTAAAAATTTCCAGTTAGAGTTGTGCAGTTGTGTTAGAAACCTTTGTCCAGTTGACAGCAATGATGGGTTTTTTTTGCTATGGATCCTACCTGGACGACTGAGGGATTACACAGACATTTCAATAGATCATTTTCTAATAGTTAATGTTTAGCTGGGTGGTTTGGAGCAGAGTTCAGGGATTCGAGTTAAGAAAAAAAAAAGAAAAGAGATTGCATTAGTTACAGTAAATGTCAGCCGGATCAAGAAAGCTATTCCAGGGTTGAATTCATCCAATTCTAGTGAACGTGTATTTAGTTAAAAAACACAGTGAAGCACTTCCTGTATTAAAACATAACATGACAAGGTGGAACAGAATGTTTTCAGTTTGAGAGAAGAGCCCAGTGTTAAACATGTGAAACAAAACATAACTTCAGGTATGTTTTTACTGAGGAAACATTATTATCGATCAGGAAGTAAGTGCACTTGCGAGAAAACCTGCCCATTTGATTTGAAATATCATGGCTTATGTGGGATAACTGAGCTAAACAGCGACAAAAATAAGTGAAACAAAAGGAAAGGACATTGTGGAGATGCTGAGAGCTGGAGCAGGATGTGTTTGTGAGTGGGCTGAGCGGAGAGCAGAGGTGGGCGTCAGCAGTGCATCTTATACACAACACACCGTTTCATAAAAGGCACAAAAGAAAGACATTTCATTAATACAGTATGTGAAAACTGGGACATCAGGCTTTGCGATGAGAGCAGAGAGATAACCATAATAAAGTTGACCAAAAAAAGATACCTAGTTACACATTAATACAGAGAATAGAACTGACATTAGATTTTCATTTGAGCAGTTTTCAAATTAGTGCTTTTTGATCTGGGACATTTTAATTCTACGGGGTATTAAACAACACATAACATATTTAGATGATTGTGTTACCTTTTATTGAGTGCCCCCTCCTTTTGCACCTGCACTTCCCCCCTACAGAGCGCTATCAACACAATCATCAGCGTGCATCCTGTCAACAAAACTACTGCACATCGCATCAGGTTTGTCACGTTTGTCACGTTGATGTGCAGAGTTTTGTTCCACGCTATTGTACATTTATGAAGAATTATCATGTAGGAGCGATGACATAAACATGTGGGCTGAGTATCAGACAGAATAGTACGGCTAACTGTAAGAAGGGTTTGAATAGGGCCCGGGAGAGATCACTAAATTACTGAAACATGCATGGATGGCATTTAAAACCTCTTCAGGCACGTTTTTGACGAGGAAACAAAGTTATAACATGTTAGAATAATACTTAATTACATTCTGTATAAAAAAATGTGTTGGTAATTATGGAAGTATCAAAATTAAGAATGTAAGAAATTATATTCATATACTAATTGGCATAAATACTAGTAACAAAACTAGATTATATGTTATTAGGATGTTATTATTAGGTTCTTTTTACAGACCAAGAGTTTATTTTTCATCCAACCGGGACGAGGGTTTTTTTTACTCTCACACACCTGGGATACTGTCCTGAGGAAGTTGGACTGCAGATGGCGCTGTCATCCTACCTCCACCAACAGGAAGACAGCGCCAAAACCTGTTTAAATCAGCTGACCGAACACGTCACAGTAACATCACGTGACGACTATGAAAGAGCGCTAGTGAGCAGTCGAAACTGTCAGGTATGAAAACAAACTCTTGGTCTGTAAAAAGAACCTAATAACATAAAATATCAGAAAACCAAATGAATCTCATTGGACTAAAACTAGATTATATTGAAAGAAAATACACCATAGATTTGTTTGTATTGTGACGATGCTAAAGTATGTAAAAATATTCAAGCTACAAGAGGAAAATGGTGAAATAGGACAAAACAGTAAATTTTCTTCCTCAACATTATTGCTTACATTTGGGACCAATGTCAATTTGAAAACAGTCCATTAGGTTTTGTAATGAAACCTAGCGCGCACGAGAGACAAACACGGCAGGTACACCACTTCCCATTATAGTGAAAAATGTCATTTACGACTGTGTCACACGTAAATGATGGAATTACCAACTGTTGTTCAAGAAGAGGCAGTGTGCCAAACAGGAACATGAAATATGACAAAGAATAGGTCTATCACAGCATGGGCATTCATAAACAATATCACAACAGATTTAATGGGAATGGTACTAATATATCAAAGTACCGTAAACTGCAACTGAATAAACAATCAAGTGATAGTACGATCCCTTAGACCTAAAACAAGTTAACTGATAAGCTTATCTATGTGATTATTTAAAAAAGGTCCATATTACACCATTTTCTGATCTATGTTTGCGATGTGTCCTCATCACAAACAGATCCAGTGTTGTGTTTTGTTTCACTCCTACATGTTTAAACACACAAACAGAAAACACTCTGCTCCACCTTGTGATGTCATATGGTAATAGAGGAAGTGCTCCACTCAGTTTAAAAGTCCATACACCTTCACTAGAATCATTTGGATCATTTCAGCCCAGGAATCACCAATCTCTACTGAACAAAGGGAGCATTTTGATTTTAGGAGGAGATGTAGATAGATAAATAATAAAGGGTTATTCAAACATGTGTGAATGAAACAACACGACACTGGCATTATAACACGGCTTAAAGCTCACAAGTCAAATTTGTGTAATATGAGACTGTTAAATATGAGTCAACCAATTATGCAATCAAGAGAGTTCAACATAGCAGTAATTACATCGAAATAAGACAAAAAAAGCACAATTTGTGTTTTTTGATTAAATCAAATGTGCTCAATCAAGTATCACTAAACTTTTTCTGAATGATTTTTAATGCAGACAAGGCTGGCGATAATGTACACAGGAAGTAGAGTCTCTAATCTCTAATCACTAATCTGCAGCTTCACCTCAATCCTTGCGCTGCATGTGAGGAACTACTCTTGCCTTTTTACTTTTAAAGAATGCCTTAAAATGGATTAATAGCGCTGTTTTGTGGACTGGGTGTCATTATTTGCGGAGGACAAATTCTATGGATAATGTGTATAAGATGATGCAGGTTAAATGTAAAACTTCACAAGAGGTGAGTAATATCCTCTTTTTTCGCTATTTCCTGAGTTTGTATTTTGCGTCTCTGTGTCCGTCACTCCATCAGCCCCTGACGCTCTGTTTTAATGGCTGTTGCCGTAGCGTACCTGATGTTTGGTGGTTAAGATCTGACAGAGCAGCTCAGATTCACACTGACACCACACACGAGGAAGCAGCAGGTTCAAAATCGCACACGAAGACACAAAGTCGAGTCACACCTCCCTCAGGGAGAAGCAGATCGCAGCATAAATCAGACAAATTCTCCTGTAGTCTGTGGCGGCCTTTAGGCTGATTTTGACCGAGAATCTTTGATAACTTTTATTCATACAAATTGGTTCTGTCATCTTTTGAAGGATAAATAACAGTTACATAACTGCTGGATTGGCTCTCTTGTGTAATAAGTTAACTGTGAGGAAATAAGTGCCATTGTCCAGCTCTGCACTGGTATCGGTTCATATCAGGTATCAGCAGATAATTAAACTTTTTTTTTTTTTTTTTTAAACTGGATCTGTGGATCCCAAAGGTTTACACCACTGGGTGTGAGAACCAGGCATGAGTGAATAATGGCTTGTCACGCATTGAATAACATGCCATAAACCAGAGCCCTTGTTATAATGATAGTGTAAACCTTTAACCAATCAATGCTGCTGAATGATCCTCACACTTACAGTAGCTCTGACAGCCTGGGCTCTGTTGGTTTTTATATGTGACTGATTAGATGGGTGAGAGGTGGACGGTTAAAGATAAACTTCTCTGATAAGTGAAGTCAAAATGCAAACATAAAAGGAGACACATTTAAAGGGAACATTTTTATGATCTTAAGAACTGTGTTCCCCCATCATTGGCTTATTCAATCTTATTTTGCTTGATTTATTATCCAACATTTCAGACTAGAGTTTTCAGAAAATCTCTTTTCACCTACCCCTCATCTCTGCCCACAGCTCTGTATTTACTTGAAATTATAAAAAAAAAAAAAGCTACAGGCTACAGAAATATCTTGTCATGGATGGTTTGTAGGTGACATTTCGAGGAATTTTGACCTTTCAAAATACAGATATAATATTTTGTTTTGAATTGCTAATTGCTATGGTAACATGCTAAACTTTCATTACTCTGCAACCCAAGTATAGACTCTTTTCAACAGCAAAAGCAACTACATGAAAATCTGCTGCTCACACGCAGAAATGTGACTATGAACACGTGCGGGAAGACAGTTCAGGAAGTCAAAAACCACATTTTTATTAAGTCTTTTTAGATCAATTATTTGATTTACAATGAACACACAACAAAATAATGATCCATGTATGTTTACAGCGGTAGTAGTAAATAATAGTAATAGTAAATACTTAAATAATTCTTTAAATTCCTCTCCACGTTTTAATCCTGTTCCTCTAAACGGATGATTTCTGCAGTTTATTCAAAGACTGTGGCCTGGTGGTTTTACAGATGGCTGAGCAGGTGTCTTCTTATACAAGAATCTCTCCGAATGTAGAACAATGAAATTGCCACTGAAGCCTTTCGACAAGAGCACAGTTTTCAAACAGTTCAGCTCAGTGCTCACCGGTGGTCTTTGA